AGATTGATAAGTTTGATTCACTTCTGTCTATAATCCGAATTGTCCACCTATTTCCATGTACAGCAGCCTTATGTGTTGACCACAGAGTACAGATCCTTCTGCCCTCATCGCTAGTAAGTTTTTAAACCTTCATTTGACTTCTTCTCCTTCTCCTTCTCCATCTTTGGTGTAGTGTTTTTCCTCTAAAACTATGATTTGAAAGATTTTTGCCATCTCCAATATCTTTGAAGGACATGTCGGACATTTACTATCATTTTTATATTATTATCTTTAAATAAATGTAGAAGTACACAACTTATTTGTGCATGAATCGATTAAAATATTGGGGGGAAACATATGAAAGCTTATTGGCCATGCTTCACAAAGGAGGGGAAAGGGAGAGAAATTCTGAACTCAATATATTTTTGTAGTGCTAGTTTTCATCTAATGCTCAACATATCAATCTACAAGTGATCAAAATGTTTACCTCGCGACTACAAGTACCAGAAAAGAAAGAACCCCATTCTTCTACATGTTAAAATGAATAGTGAAAAATAAATAAATTCTCAGATAATGGGAAAGTACTTACCCTTTCGTATTGAATACTTTTTATGGACATGATTAACCACGGCCAAGCTGAACTGTGCATATCTACTCCACCCGTAAGGCAACGTGGTAGAGTCAGCAACATCCAAATACATTGACAAGTGGTCAACATTGTTTCCTTTTGGAAAAAGTAATATTCGCCTGATGAAACCAACCAACCAACTCAAATCAACAAAATCAACAACTAGCTATAACAACTCAAAGGAGCAAATTGCAGTTTTGCAAATGAGATAATAGAATGTACCATTTATATCCTCCAACAGAAAACGAGTCAGAATAATACTTTTTCATGGTTAACCTAGAGAAGTTCTCAATTCTCCATGTGAATTTTATAGGTGGGGGATCCTCCACTTGCTGGTTCTCCATGGTGCCAGGAGGCTCCACTTGAGCTGTCGAAAACATTCACATAAATGCAGAATAACAAAACAACGCCTCGATACAAAATGGGATCATCACACGATAAAACTGAAGTCAAGCCACAAAAAAAAACTAAAAACAACCAATCTTCCAGTGAATTGTAAACCCATTAACTTCAAAACCATGGCCAACTAAAAAAGATAATAGAATCCAAATAGTATACTAGTCAAGCAGGCTGAATATAAACCTTCCATTGGCTGAGGACCCTCCACTACATCCGAATGCGGCACAAGCATCTCCTCGTCTTCTTGCTGCAGAACAAAACAAGAAAATCAGATCTTCCAAACGACGAAACTCGACCCCACGAAGATTGAATCGAAACCCTAGAGATATATCAATCAAAAAACCGAGTTATTGAATTCTCAACTCAATTTGACGTCCAAACCAAAATCAAAACCCTAAAGATCAAAATTCAAAGAACAAGAAATGACACCAAAACAAATAACCAAAGGACGACGAGTACGAAAAAAACCAAAAAAGAAAATCAAGAACAGAAACTAAAAAGGAGTAGCCAAATTACATCAAGAGGTGGAGGAGTCATCATAGTCATTGATGGAGAGAAAATGGCAGTCCGATCGACGAATCACAGAACAAGCAAAACACGTAGAAACTTAAAACAGTACGCGGAAAACGAAGAGGAAAAAAAAAAATAAAGCCTGCAACACTCGGGAGAGAGAGAGAGAGAGAGAGAGAGCTGGTTCAGAAGAAAAAAAAATTACAAAAATTAAAATAAAAAAAAAACAAAAAAAAACAAAAAAAAACAAAAAAAAACAAAAAAAAACAAAAAAAAACAAACAAAACAAAATAGCCCGTAATTTTACTTTGCGAGGGAGGGACGTGGCTGGTCAATATAGAAAAATAGGAGGGTAAAATGGGAATTCAGATGGCGGCGTCACGAAGTTCCACTGCACATTCTGTATACAGTATTATAAGAGATCACCATTGAGAAATTGACACGTAATGAGAAGGTTTTTCCAACTCGTGACGTGGTATCTTTTGAGAGTCACGTGCGTTGCACGTGATATGACTATCTAAAATCAAAATTGTTTTCCTTTTATTTTTTCTTTTTCTTTTTCCCTTTATTTTGTGTTCAATTATTTTTGTGATTCTTTGAATTTCCCATTTGAAAGCATTTTTAATTTTGAAAATAATGATAAAGTAGTAAAGTCAATGACAGTCATCTGTGTTGGAATGACCTGATAAAAAAAATTGGTTTTTAAATCAAATTAATTTTACTCAAAAAAAAATTCAATAATTTAAAGTAAGTGGTAAAGGTGCTTGCATAATTTTAAATAAATACAAAACATATTAAAAAAAATTAAATTAATTTAAAATATATCTTTGGATAGAATGGGTTTTTTTTAGTATCTTTTATTTATTAATATCTCTAAAAAACACTTCTTTAATAGTATAAAATCATTCAATAAACTACTGAAATATTAAAATTTCCAAAAAAAAATTATTTGGCTTAAAAATTGATTCTTTTCCTGAAAAGCTATTTTTTCTAATCTTCGGCTAGCCAATCATAGAGCAATTAATATTTGTCACTTTGGTTAGTCACGGGAATTTTTATCCATATACTATTTTTAAAAATAAACTAACAAATTAAAAAAAAATGTTTATAAAATTTTTATCACGGGAATTTTTATCCATATACTATTTTGAATGACAAAAATGGTGAAGTCAAAACTTCACTCTAGAATCCAAACTCAGCCAATTTTAAGGTTCTCGGCCACGAAGATAACATTTATGATTTGAATCTGTCTTTTCCGACAATGGTAACTTAAGTTTCATCGAGTCATTCGCACATAATCTCGGTGGCCCCTTAAAGGGTTAAATAAACACAAACCAAAACGATAAATAAAATGGAAGAAAGCGAAGTCTATTCTACTCATTCCCAATCAAATTATAGCAACGAAGCAGCAAGTTTGGCTTTAATGGCCAAAAGAAGTTTGGGTTAATGCCATATCTCTGTTTTAGAAGCAGAGCAACAAACAGCTCATAACACTGATAAATATCTCCAATCTTCTGGAATAACAGTTTGATTCAAAAAGACTAACAGTAAATAATTCATTTCCTGAAAACAAAAAACAGCAACAAAAGACTAACAGATTGAAGAACATCGTCTAAGCGACTGATCTAATGCTATAATTCTTCTCCATAACTATTATCACAGTAAGCAGAATAAACAACTTATGCTATTCATTATTTCATTTTTATGTAAAAGATTGAGAAGAACAACTATCTTACCTCTTTGAAGCATTATCATCATCATCATCATCATACTCTTACAGGCTTTTGTAGAACAGCAGACAGATAAACCTCAGATTTGCCTGACTCGGATTTCTCCCCAATGACCCACTTCAGTTTTTTTAATCCAAACCGCTCAATCAAGCGTGTTAAAGCTTTTTTCTTCTCATCATTGGCACAATAGAAGTTATCCAACCAAAGCAATCCACCCGCCCTTAAGATCCGATCGATGTCGAACATTAGGAACTCCAATTTTTCAGGCTTTCCACCAATGTCCAATGCACTTGAGGCATGAACCAAATCAAACACATTGTCGTAGAAAGGGAATCTGTGATCTAAACTCAAAAAGAGAGGAAACAATCCTCTTGCAGCAATGAATTCACTGAATGGGGCATCAATATTCAGTGTAGAGGTTATGACAGTGACATTTTTCTCGGCCATTCTAGCAGCAAAAGTCCCAGACCCTCCACCAATATCAAAGCCTATCCTGATTCCTCCACTAGTTAAAGCTAAAACGTCATCAATGGAAAAATCATTCTTCCCTCTGGCCTTCACAAATCTCTGATTCTCAAATCCACTAACCAAATCAAAGCAACCGACACAATCTCTGCCTAATTTCTTACTATTCAGACAATTGAAATTTTTACATCCAAGTCCACTCCACATCACAATCTTATCACTTACAGGTTTCCATACAGAGGAAGGGAAAGGTTGTAAACCCACCTTTGGCACAGATTTGGCCAAACATCTCCGCCTCGGCAAGGGCTCACATCCACGCAGAATCAGCTTCTGAGCAAGGCTCCAATCGTCGGGACAAGGTCCAGAGACCTTGTAATTCATATACTGCGACAAAAGGTCCATCGATTTCTCACACGAATGCCCCACAGATGCGACCATTTCAGTGATTCCACTTTTCGAATCCTTGCCAAGAGGAAGCGGATGGCGCTGGAGGAAGAGTTTGAGCTCGTCTGCGACATTGGATCTGGAGAGATCGATGCTCTGATATCCGAGAATTTCCTTTTCCATCTGAGCCAGCTTTTTCTGAGAAACCTCGATCTCTCTGAGAATAAGAGATACCTGCTCGGATATGACAGAAAAGTTCTTGTGTGCGCGATTAAGCGAATGAACTTCGCGATCTTTGGGAGAGTAAGTGAAGGCGTATAATGCGAAAAGATTCGTGGTGATTACAGAAATGAGCATGAGAATGTTCAGCGCTGAAGAACAAATGGATGCCCTTTTGAATCTGGCGGTTCCATCTCCGATTTTCAGAGAAACGGAACCCATTGAAGCTCACCTTTCAGCTCTGCCACTGCTGCCGCGGAACTGGAAGTGGGCGAGATTCGTAGAGTTGAAGGCAACAGGGAGGGTAGATTTGTAATTAAAATAAAATAAAAGGGCATTTTTTAACCCTTTTTTAATTTGATTTAAAAACTGGGGTGTTTCATTCAATGACTTGGTGAAAAAATGGCTGTCAACTAGTTTGCCATTATTACATATACTAGTTTGATAACGAGTCTACATTTGAGCTACGACTTATGTCAACAAATATTGACAATTGCCATTTTAATCCAAATATAAATTCCGTTTGATTTTTAAGGTATTTTTTATTTTTTTTGTCACTTTAATGCATGGAAATTATTTTTTCATATCCTCGCTAAGATTTTTTACTTTAGAGACCATAATAGAATGACATCTAAATTAAAACGGGCTAAAATAAACTAAACCAAATAACAAGGAAGCTCAACTAATAAGTAATTTTAATGTAATAATTTTGAAAAGCAACCATAAATAAACATTTAAGTATTACAAATATCCAGATGACAAAGATTCTCACCAAATATAAAGACTTCTCATTAAGGCTTAATCAATTATATGATGACTTCTCGCTGGCTAAGATAAGGCAAACAAAACATTGAGGACAACAATGTCCATAGAAACTTTGAACTAGATGATGAACCAAAAACGAAGCTTTTGATGAATCCTTTGAGCTCTCTCTCCTTTGTCGAACTACGCTTAACGATTGGCCTTCGCAACTCTCTCAATCTCATCCTTTTTCTTGATAGCGTAACTGCAAAAACAGAATTAACACAATGAAATATGGTGCAAGGATGGATGAGAAATTAGTAAGAGGAGATATGATGTTTACCTGTTTGATGAACCCTTTGCTGCGTTGATGAGTTCATCAGCCAAACATTCAGCAATAGTCTTGATGTTTCTGAAAGCAGCCTCACGGGCACCAGTTGTAATAAGGTATATGGCTTGATTTACACGTCGCAGAGGGGATATATCCACAGCTTGACGCCTAACAACACCAGCTGAACCAATTCGGGTAGCATCTTCACGGGGTCCACTGCCAGATCCCATGTCAAAAAATATGTTAAGAGGAAACTGAAAACTCAAAAATTGCAAAATTACCATGATCTTTGTTCCGGACATTGATTCAAGATGCAATATTTAAATCACGAATTCCGTCCAATAAAGTCATGCACTAAAAGTTAGAACCAAACACAGTTACCAATATTCATGTGAAAATATTCGTCAACATTGTAACAAGGACAATTTGTGAGGTTTGACTAAATTGTAGGGATCCTACTGAAAATTTTAGAACATATGGACTAAAAGTTAGAACTAAACCCAAATCATAGATACCAAAGTGCAACCAAGTCTAAACCATAGAGACTAAATTGAACCTTTAACACCATAAAGACTAAATTAAAACCTTGTCTAAACCATAGATACCAAATCTGTAATTGGACCTAAAAGTTACGATGGTATAACATAACTTAAACACAACATGAATGGAATTCCGTGGATCCAATATGCATACCTGTTAACAACAGCATCAACAATAACTTGAATTGGATTCAAATCAGTTAGCAGATGAATAATCTCCATCGCATGCTTGATAATCCTCACAGCCATTAGTTTCTTTCCATTGTTTCTGCCATGCATCATAAGCGAGTTTGTAAGTCTCTCCACAATTGGGCATTGAGCTTTCCTGAAACGCTTCATGGAATATCGACCTGCAGTGTGTGGAACATAGGTCGCATGCTTGGCTGGTGCAACTCCAATGTAATCCCCCAGGGACATGTCATTAACCTGTATAATCACAACCGTTCAATCATATCAGTGGAACTCGATGGCATTGAGATTTCACCTAACAACCCAATTCAAGCAGGAAACAAAAAGAACCCAACAACCATACGAACAGGTCGCAGTTTTCAACTCCTCCGCATCGTAATGATAAGCAAAAAGTTGTTCTCAGACTTTTTTTAATTCAAAAGTAAAGTAACACGAGAGGCAGTGAAATCATTATGAATGAGAGGGAATCCACCAATAGCTTCCAACATTATAGGAAAATTTAAAGTTAACCTAAAATTGCTTCACACAAACATCAGTCTAAAAAACTGGGCATTAGGGAAAAAAAATAAAACCTGGACATCATCAAAGGTCCAGCGATTGAAAAGCTTCACGTCGTATTGAGGCTGGATCAGTTCCTGAGTCACTTCGACCGCTTCAGCCATTTCTGCGGAAGACAAAATAGCAAGTCAGATTTACATGGATGAAGAAGACTAAAGAGGTCATCAATGTTCCGATAAATCCTAAAGAACAAAAAGAGAAGAATGCAGCTCTCAAAAAAAGCAGCCGAACAAATTACTCCCAAAACCTTGTGTAAACGGCCAAACTTCAATACCGAGAAGAAAAACTTAGAAAGACCAAATGGAGGGAACAAACAACTCATGTCAAATAGAACGAGTGTATAGTGTGCACGAATCCTTAAACCCTAGCAACATTTTCTAATCAGCAGCAGAAAATCCTCCAACAAACACTAACAACAACACAACCACTAAACCAAATAAAGATTTAAAAAATAATCGGACACAGATCAAAGAACAACCAGCAAAAAATTCCAATCCAGAACTGAACTGCAACAGCCATTGCAGAAAAGAAACAACAATAAATTTTCAACATCGATCGACAACATTAACGGTTGAGATAAGGACATAAAGAAGAAGATTGAAAGTATTGAAGAAGAAACTTACTTGGAACGGCGACGAGCAAAATGGAAAGCAGGAGGTGAAGGCTCGGTTCGGCGGCTAGGGTGAAACGAGGGAAAATTATACGGAAGACGGGCTTTTAAGAGGGTTTTCAATTTATGCAAAAAATAAATAAAATAAAATAAATAAAATTTTGGTCGATAATACCCCTGACAAATGGATGCACCATCATCCCATTTAATTAACAACGTGGTTTACTGTGTTCTCATTTCCACATTTTTACCCTTTTAGGCCTAACTTTATGGTCTATTTTTTAAAATAATAATAATAATTCCAAGTAAAAGCCTATTTTGATGTATTTATTTTAACTTACAACGAGCCATTATTTTTGTTTAAATTTAAAAGTTCTACAAATTTGTATGATAGTTGCGTTTATCCATTAATCAAGTGTAATTATGTGTATGATAGAATTTTACATTTTTAATGTTGGCGTCTGAAGATATTAGTGGGTGAATTAACACGAATAATTACCATGCCTTTTACCTTTTATTTATTTAATTTAAGTTTAGGTCCAAATTTAGAGGTAAAAATTGATTTTTACCCTAAGATATTTCTTCACTCCAACAGATGCAATACTCAAACACTGATGAATGTTAAGATTTTAAGGACAACCCATCCAAGAAATGAGTGGGAAGAACACTAAAGCAGTTTCAAAGGGTAATATTTAGAATGAACTAAATTTGAGTTATGTTGGTGAATCAACATCCACAAAACATATATGGGTCAATCAATGCTACTCAAATTCTGATTATACAGAAGAATATACAACATAAATAACAAAGTTATGAGCAAAACGGGACTATCATCTAAATCTAATCTATTGTCATGATCATGCAGGAGAAAGAGAGGCTGTGAAGGAGTGGTCCGAGTACTTCAAACCTTTTAATAAACCTGCACGCAAGGACGGCGAAGCGATGGCTTCTGGAATTCCAAAGGTATGGTTGTTAGATTGGAGGAGAGGTTCACCAAGAGCAACATTCAAACCAATTGAGATAGGGTCTGTCGTGAAGCTGAAATCATCCAAAATTAGCCCAACATCAGGAAGAACCAGAATATGAATGACTTCAAGATACTTCAGGAAGAACATACCTAGCCTCGAAGCTTCTTCCTTTGGAACCCATGACTGCACATACACTGGAAATTACCCATGGTGGAATATATTCATCGGTAATTTCAAGGCTATAGGACACACCAACAGATGAAGAATCGCCATCCTTTGATGTGGATCCTTTGGATACTGCAGCAATACCGTTTGCACTTCTCAACTCCTTGAATTTGACCTTGCAAAATAAAGCATTCATCTTTTTACCACACCAAACACAGAAAGTACAAGCAGCCACAGCAAACCCAATTCACAGTAAATAAAAATTAACTCCAAAGCTGATAACACTGATCGCAAATTAACTCCATGCACCTGCGGTGAAGAAAGTGCAGCATTCTGAAAGGGAACAGGTGATAGCAACACGGGAACATCCATGCCAGCCAATGAGGCCAAGAAAGATCTGGACAATAAACCAGATATATCAGCCAATTCACACTAAATAAAAATCCTATAATATGACTATGGCTTGATCCTAGAGATCAGACGTAAAGTGTTTAGTCCTATTAAAATAACCAAAAGTTAACAGGAAGGCAAGTTGCCACAAACACATTCATTTACCTGTAATTTAACAGGATATCATATAACCCATGCACATCTTTGTTTTCGCAGAAAAACAGTAAAGATTGAGAGCTCCTATCTACATCAGAAAATGAACGAACTCGTCGTGTCTGAAAAAGGTTGATATTTTCAGTAGCAAACTCAACCAAGTAAGCCAAGGCTATAAAAATTGATTCACAAAGGAGGGAGATTACAAGCAGTGTGAGCTTGCTCATCCCATATCTAACTTAATCATGAGCTTATATGGTTTGATATGAATAGACAGGCAAGGGCCAAGAGAGGAAAACACAACAGATATAAACCTGTCCCAAATTGTACTTCTCTATCTCTGAAAGTTCAACCAAATCTTCAGCATCGACATGCTCGACTTTAGAACGACAAAGAGGCATAGAGAAACAAACACCCTGATCCAAATTTCAGACAATGGGAAAATGAGACTTTACATAAAGTTCAATTTATGAAAATAAACATAGAGCAAGCATTAGTATTATTTTAGATAGTTCCCATTAGCATTATTTTATTTTGTTGGCCAAAGGCAACTACAGGAGACTATTCTTAGGAAATAGTGCATAAATAACTTACCTGAGTTGGCAATTTAAAACAAAACTTAGAAAAAAATTAATAAAGAACTTTATCTACAAGTGGATTTATATGCACCATCATTGACACCAAATTATTTGAGTTTTAATTTCAATAATAACTATTATAAAAGGATCAACCTGCAAAATAGGATTTCTGCCCAAACAACAAATAGCGAAGGTGCAAATTCCATCAAGGAAAAAAAATCACCGTTGTTTAAAATCCAAATAAAATAAAACCAGCTTCTTAGCCGCATGCCTAAATTGGAAGGGAAAGGGTTAATCTTACATTCTCACTCAAAATAGACCTCAAACCTCTTGTTGACTGGGAAAGATATGCATTGCACATGCTTTTGTTGCCCCCTGAGGCATCTCCACTTGTAAACATAACCACAAATTGTGATGTACAAACTGAAAATTTCAAAACCAATCAATCAAATCAGGTATGACTCAATAATGACATTTATCTGGGCAAAGAGAAACTGTATTTAAGACAAAAATAAATAAATAAATAAATCTAAAACCATGTTGAAGAAAACTTAACCAACATTACTGAAGGTAGTTACCATAAAAAACTCTACAAATATTATTCCGAAGCATGTAATAAAGGCTTTGAAATGAGTCCTCCCATGCTTGTAGTCGTCTGCTAAGGAACTCAGCTTCTACTGCATCGAAGGAGAACCAATGAGTATTTACAAACACAAATCAGAATCTTATGTTTTAAATAACCCCAACCTGCTGCTGATGAATTCAAAACTGAAACAAGAGAAGATGGCAAGGTAGATTGAGGATAAACCCATGAATGGAGAACCAAAGAGCCAGAGGCTTGAGAAGCAGGTGGCAGTCCCCCACTACAGTTCCTAATTTGATCAAGTGAACCAATTTGTATTGAGAACTGAGGCATAGAAGCAAACATGATTGTCTTGTGGATCCTAAATTTTGGGACAGATGAGAAGGTCAGTCATTAATAAATAATTTTTATTTCTGTTTTGGAACTTTTAAAAAAAAAAATTGTTAGCATAACTGCACATAATTTGAGAAGATGGTCCAATTCATGTCAGATTAATGCTACCTGCAACTGAACATAATTTCATAATAAAATCTGAATATAAAATATAAATCAACCCCCAGCATAATGGAACTCACCAACACACGCCTAGTTCAAATGAGGATAGCTTAAAATTATTTCTTTAGGGACTTTTTTCTTAAAAAAAAAACTCGGGAAAGAAAACAATATTTGTCAAACAATTCTGGAGAAAATCGATCACAAGAACTTAATGTTAAATCAAAATCAAATTGCAGGGGATATTCAAATGTTTCAAAGAAACCTCTGCATCTTCTCAAAATAATTGATCAAATTACCCAGCTAACACTACGCAACACATTCATTTAATGAAACCTTCAAGCCAAGAAAGGACACCCTAATATACTGAAACACTCACCAATTTAGCGAGTAGGGGGACACCACTCGCATGCTAGTTTTTAAAGTAAGATCAAGTGGAGCCTTTTGACCTAGTATGCAGCTATCAGCGCATAAATCACTTGAGTAAGTAGATGAAGCATGGCCGGATCTCTTGGAAGAGTCTGATGGTAAACTAGAAATTGCAGTGGTTTCACAAGCAACAAGTCCTTTTAATGCTTTACCCTATAAAATTGCAAAGAGAACTTTAAAAGATATTTGATATGAAATAAAACGAATTAAACATTGCTTCAGAATTCTACCATATCAATGCTTGTCAAGCCAGTTGATTTGTCACCACCAGATGAGAGCTGAGTGACACTTCGAAATATACTTTGGCTACTGTTCTCAATTGTTTGTGAAGATTTATCAGTCTTATCATGGGCAACATCAGCAGGACCAACAGAATTCCCTTTACTGCAATAAAACAGAAAATGTAACCAACTGCTACAGAAGAAACAATTAGAAAGCACTAAAATAAGCAGAAAGATATAAAAACAAAGTTCTTACCATTGACTTGTAGTCAAATTTGAAAGCATAGACATATTCAAGAAACTGCTAGCTTGCTCCATCATATTGTTTTCCTAAATGTTATACAGCAAGTGATATAAAAGTAAATACAATTACTTCAATACATTCTGCAACAAAATCTTTAAAAGAAGTGCACTAACCTTGGCATTATCTTTTCCGGATAAGATCCTGAGCCTAGATTTTTTTACTGGAAATACCTCATCCATGCGTGTATCGATGTATTTTGGATTTCTGAGTAACCCGGGCTTCTTGAACCCATTGACCAAAGCACTGTTGAAACATATAAAAATAAGAAAGCTCTCCGGGAATCAATAATTGCAAGCTATACAAATAAAGACGAGTAAGCCTCACTTGTTAGAAGCAAAAACAGTGGAAGGAGATTCATCCGAAGGATCCAAATTGTTTGATCGCTTCAACTGCTCTCCCTGCAAAAGTTTGAGCAGAACACACACCAGATTCAGAAATGTTGCTTTAACCTCTTGATGTGAGCTTAACTTGAAGGGCATAAATTACAAAAGTTTCATCCCATTTGAAACTCTGGTTTACTTAATGAGTTAATGTATCATTTTCTACCACTTCAGCCACCTAGAAACTCTGGTTTTACTTTGATTGAAATTTGATAATAATCTTAATATGACAGATAACAATACACCTTATTGAGATATAAAAATTACACATCTCCCGAAACAACAATATACTGCTTTATTATACAAAAACTTACCCTTAGTTCTGATGGGGTTTTTCTTCTATTTGATTTCCCAGTCTTTGGAGCCCCTCCAGCAATATCATGAGAAGCTGAAGGTAAAGAACTTGGAGCAACTACTTGCGTCATAGTTAATGGTTTAGTATTAGACCACGGCTTCAC